GTAACTTTGCCCAAAATGGTCAGAAAAATTTGAACCAATTTTTTCCAGAACCTACTCATGGAGCTCTATCGAATGGCATATAGTTTGAAAATTGTCGGTGATTTTCGTCGGACACCATGTGTCATTTTGGGACGAGATGTGCAATTTTTGCGCGAGGCCACAGGTCGGAGAGTTCACCCGATCCCTCCCAAATTTTTCCTACGATATAGTACACATTCTGACTTAGGGCCCTCGCCCCAAGCACTTTTTGCTCACACTTCACCCCTCCTCGCTATTTCCATTTGAAAAACCACCCATGGCCGTTTCAGTGCGAAAACGACGTTTCAGTGCCGAGGTCATATTTTTCCTGAATAGAGCGCAAAAAGTTGCAGGACAAATGTAGCTTCAAAAAAATTCCCCGGCCTTCGGCCGGGGCGCAGGACTTTTTGGAAAGGATTTTCTCCCCAAAAAGAGGGGCACTACCAAGATTTTTATAATATATATAATATGGCGGTAAGTTACGTATGCAAATCTTTATATATGCAATGGCGGTAAAATTTTGGGGTGCCCGTTGGAAAGCCTATCGGCTTTGGGGCGCGCTTCGCGCGCTGCTAGAAACGGTAACTTTGCTCTGCCTTTTCATTGCTTCGGGCCTTCGGCTCTCGCCGGCAAAGATTAGCCCTGCCTTTTCATTGCTTCGGGCCTTCGGCCCTCGCCGGAAAAGATTAGCCCTGCCTTTTCATTGCTTCGGGCCTTCGGCCCTCGCCGGTAAAGTTTTTCCCTGCCTTTTCATTGCTTCGGGCCTCCGGCCCTCGCCGGCCCTCGCCGGCCCTCGCAGGTTTGGGGGGCCTTCGGCCCCCCAAACCCAGCGTTTAGTTGGATACTGTGCCTTTTGTAGCGTGGTGGGTTGACTCGGGGCGTTTGGGGGGCCTTCGGCCCCCCAAACCCAGCGTTTAGTTGGATACTGTGCCTTTTGTAGCGTGGTGGGTTGACTCGGGGCGTTTGGGGGGCCTTCGGCCCCCCAAACCCGGCGTTTAGTTGGATACTGTGCCTTTTGGTAGCGTGGTGGATTGACTCGGGGCGTTTGGGGGGCCTTCGGCCCCCCAAACGGCCCCCCAAACCCAGCGTTTAGTTGGATACTGTGCCTTTTGTAGCTGTGGTGGGTTGGTTCGGGGCGTTTGGGGGGCCTCCGGCCCCCCAAACCCAGCGTTTAGTTGGATACTGTGCCTTTTGGTAGCTCTGGTGGGTTGACTCGGGGCGTTTGGGGGGCCTTCGGCCCCCCAAACCCAGATTTTAGTTTGATACTGTGCCTTTAGATAGCTGTGGTGGGTTTATCCGGTGCGTTTGGGGGGCCTTCGCCCCCCAAACCCCCACAACAGAAAACTCTGACCCAATAACTTGTCAGACTCAAGTGGACCCCCTTAAAATTTTATATTTTTTAGATTGATTTGAGGTTGCTCTACAACATAACGTAAGTATTTTTTATTTATTACCCCTCCTTTGGTACCCCACTGGGTATGGTACCGCCCACCCCCAAAATTTTGACCATTTATAACTTTTGCCAAAATGGTCAGAAATTTTTCAAAAAAATATTTTTAGACTCGGGGTGATAAGGGCTTTCGATTGATATATAATTTGCCCCATCTGGACCCATTTTTAAAAAAATATTTTTTTGGCCGATAATTTCGGCCGAAAAAATCACCCAAATTTTCAAAAAATCATAACTTTCTCAAAGTTAACATTTTTTGAAAATTTTAAAAGCCTATTTTATGCAGAAAAATCTGCTCTATCCAGGAAAAATACATTCGGTTCGAACCGACGGCAAAAACCCCGAAATTTTTCGAAAAACCGAAAAATTTTCAGGTTTTCGAAATTCGACCCCTACACCCCCAATTTCGAATTTTTTCGAAATTTTCTTTGCTCTAAAAATACCTAATTTTTTGCTTGATTTTATAAAGCAAACCCCATCCCAATCGGATAATCCAAAAAAAAGTTATGGTCCTCTAAAAAATCCCGAAATTTCCCCAAAAGGGGTACCCCTTTGGTTCTGAGGGCGGGGACAAAATTTTCGAATTTTGACACAAAATTCGACCTATATGGTGCTTTGACACCTGCTGAGGACGAATCCGGCCTCGAAAAAATTTTAAAAAAATTCCCCGGGACGTTAGAGTCTCATAAAGTTTTCGGACATTTTGCCACATCGGCTATAACTTTTTGAGACTCAAGTGGACCCCCAACATATTATACCTTTTTCTGACCGCCAGGGGACGCTCTTTCGATCTGGCTATCGAAATCGAGTTTCAATTCACGTTACAAAAAGTCGACTTTTCGACCCCGACACTTTGGACAATATCACCCCCAAAATTCACCCGAGACTCAAGTGGTCAATTATTTATAACTTCCCAACATCCAACCCTACAATATCACTCCCAGGCCCTAAGACCCCCAAGTTCTCAAAAATGCGTTACAACGCGTTGAATTATTCATCCGGCCATTTCGGCGCCGCACTCAAGTGTGGCGCCGAAATGACCCACTCCAAAAAATTCTCCATATGCGATTCCATAATACCCCCCAGGTCCCATCCAATTCCGCCGCGCCGTTCTCGAGATATAGAAAATCGAAAAACCAATTAATTGGTTTTCGGACCAAATAAAAACCAATGACACGGCATATCGGTATTTAGACTTCACCGAATTTCGAAATTTTTTTTTTATTTGATATCCACTAAATGTATCTCAGTGCCCTTTAGTTGGGACCTAAGCGCTCCGACTTTTAGTTCACGAGATAGCCACTTCAGGGGGGTCGTTTCGGCGCCAAGGGAAAGTCGTGGCGCCGAGTTCGTATTTTTCCTGAATGCGCCGTAAAAAGTTGCCCCACCGATGTCAGGCTTCGGGGGAGCGTCCGGCCTTCGGCCGGCCGATAATAGTTTTTAAAATGGAAATTTGTCTTTTTTATAGGTATAAGAGTAACTACCGGTAATTCATTATTTGCCTCATCCAATTCATCTGGTCTAGAACAAATATCTTAAATATCTATTAATGCTGATAATCACTAATTCCCTCTCTTTCTTTCAATCACAAATCATTCCTTTTACAAAATTAAAATTACTCAAAATTTATCAATTAAAACAAAAATAAAAAAAAATTTGTGTTTTGATCAAATTTATTTTTTTTAAATATTCCTTAATTTTTAATTTCTTTTCTTTTTCCATTTCTTAGACGAAAATTTAAAGTTAAAAATTTAATTTAATTATTTTTAATTCCATAGAACATTAAAAATTTCCACAACAATAATAATTAGTAGAACCGGGACACGCCCAAAACAGCGCATGGGCAAAACAACGCAAAGCCATTGCTTGCTTCAAGATTTCCGAATCTTAACAAATTTAAACGCTTTCACTCATCGAGCTAAAGATGAGTGAAAGCTGAGTCCAATGTGTATATTTTTCAGAAAATTTTTATAACCGAGATTCTTTCTGTTTACATTTTTTTAAATTTAAAAAAGACAACATTTTTTTCAAGTCCAAATTCCATTAAAAAGTTTTTTAATTGAAAAAGACCAAGGAACATAAATAATAAAGAAAGAATTTTAAAAAATTATTTTTAGAAAAACTACTTTATAAAATGTTGAAATAATTATTTTTTTGTTTAAATTAATCTTTTCTTGTATTTCAACAACCAACTGTTCCCCAATCATTAAATAATATATTTGTTCAATTTATAATTAAATGGAATATTTAAGCTAAGAGATTTGCGGATTTTAAATTAAAAATTATTTTTAAAAATATTTTTATTTTTAATTTATTTTCTTAGCCACTAATATCAAATATTTAATTTTAAATTAAATATTAAACTTTTATTAATTCTAGTCTAATCAAGAAAGAGTTTAGCAAAAGTTTAAACTAACCCCCGCGCAGGATTCGAACATTGAACCTCCACGTAGTTAATACTAGGGGCTTTCGCTCAACACATACAGGAGCCCTACCACTGAGCTACCGGCACATCGACAAACTTTCTCTTTTATCCTTCTAAATCGTTTAACACCCGCGCTCTTATCATCCTTATAATAATAATTTTTTAAAATTCTATTATTTTTTAAAATAATTCCTTTAAAAATTAAAATTTATCCGCAAATCAAAATCCGCAAAAATTAAAAAAAGAAGCACATTTTTAAGTTAGTCATTAATCCTAAGGGAAAAAAGTAAAAGAATTAAACGTGAATATATCTTTTAAAATAAATGGGAGAAAAGAAAATTTGGTGATTTTTTGATCAATTTTTCTATTAAAAAGAATTTAAAGGGATATAGCCAAACATTTTTTTATTTTTTAAAAATTCTTAAAATAAAATTAAAAAAAAATTTTTTTTAATTAATCATGTTAATTTAATTAATCATATAAAGGAAAAGGAGGGAATTTAATTTCCTTGAATGTCCCTATAAATTCTTTATTTTAATTGAAATATTTTAAAAAATTACATATAAAAATGCCGCTTTTTTATTAATAAAGAAGATTCCCAAAAATTTAAACAAGACTTTTTTGTCTTATTAAACTTGGACAAAAAAAAGTTTACCGAATCCTTAATTATTTTTCTTTTACTTTTTCCTTTATAGTTAGACCTCTATTTAGATAAACAGATTAAGAAAATTCATATTTAAAGTAAATTTTTAATTTGTTTAGTTATTGGAAGGAGGGGGGAGCTTGCCTAAACGATAAATACCCAATACAAGAGATCGGTATTTTCAAAAATTCTGGATCTGGATTTAGGTTAGTAACCTGGACAGGATTCTGGATCCAGGAAAAATCCAGACCGGATCCAGATACAGACCGATCTCTACCCAATACACTCGAATTTAGGTGCTATTTTACAACACCTCATGAGTATATGAACAAGGAATGGGCCGGGTTACCCGAAACCCGACTTTTTTCTCAGCCCGGCCCATCCCTAATATGAACATAAATTTTATATATGTACATTTCTGATATATTTTTTAAATTAAAAATTATTTTTTTAAAGTTAAAAAAATGTTTTCTTCTTTTCTTAATTTAATTACCAAAATATTTATTCTTTTAACAATATTTTTTAATTATGGAATTTTTGGTTGTACTCACAATGGAATTACTTATCATAATGGAGATGAATGGGTAATTAAAGAAAAAAAGATTTTTTTTGATAATTTATTTTTAAATTTTTTAGTTGGAAAAAAATGCTTTTGTGGTTAGATGTACTGTAAGTTAACTGAAATTTTTTTGAAGAATTTTAATTTAAAAAAAAAGGTAAATTCTGATACTTCTTGGCGGTCTGAGGTTGTTGCTTGTGTATTGCCTGATTCTCGTCGAGTTCCTATACATACATCGCTTGAGGTAGATTTGAGGAATTTAAAGTGTAACTAAAGGAAAGTAAATCACTCACTACTAGGGTTGGAGGTTTCGAGTCGGGCCGACGTTCGAGTCGTTTTATCGGGCCGGAATAACCGAGCTTTTCGGGTCAAAATTCGATGCCTGACTTGACCTTTCGGGCCGGGCCCCCAACCCTACTCATCCCTGCGATTCTTTCTTTAAATAGATTTAACCCTTTATGAAAAAGCAAAAGTTCTCTGAGGAACTTTCTACAAAAGTGTTGACATTAAAAGATCTCTTAGCAAAATCTCGAAAAACACACAGAAAACTATCCTACATAACATAAAAATTAATCTTTTTTTTTAAATTAGGATGGCAACTCTGTTTGGAAATGTGAAAAGAATGACGAAGACCGAAGTGTTCAGTTAAGACAAGCTCCAAGCAATAATGCTTTATGTAATGGAATACGTCCTGTTGGAAGTGTTTGGCAAGAAAAATCATTTGAATTAGAATGTTTGCCAGGTGGATATACTCGATTACGTGCTTGTGTAACTGAAGAAGGGAATAGAGTTAAAATAAATACAACAAGCACTGTTAATGGTAATTTTTGAGATTAACAAAAAAAAATTATTTTTAAAAAAGGTTTTGATGTTGAATGTATTCAATTTTATAATGGAACTATTATTTTCCGTGGTGCCAAGCCTGGTAAATAAATAAATTTTTTACTAAAATTAATTTGGTTTCAGTTGTTTATGGAAATACCTATTTTTAATTCCTTCTCTAATTTCATTAGATTTATTTTATAAAAACTACAAAAAATTTAAAATGGGATTAGACAGGCAAATAATGAAATTATATCCATTTGTCTCGTTATAATCAGGGCGGCCCTTTTGCCCTATTTACGGGGCATTTGCCGTATTTTCGACCTTTTCGCCCCATTTTTCCCTATTTTTTTATTTGCAATATTTTTGCCCTATTTTTGAGTGACTGCGCCCTATTTTAGTGTTTTGGAAGGGGCCATCATGGTAAAGATTTAAGGATTAAGTGAGGACATAAGGATTTACTTACACCTTTTTAAAAATTATGATCAAGAAGAAAATGATCCAAATAAGGGAAAATATTTATTTTTAAATGGAGGGGGGAGGAGAACTTTATAATAATTATCAGAGTTGGAAGTTAAATCCAAATATATTCATATAATTTAAAAAGCAGTTCCCCGTGTCGAGCCAATAGTATTCCCTCAACCAATACGTTCACAATATGGAGCTGCCGGTCCAATTATAACCCCAGCCGTTAGATGTACAGACGAAAGTGGACGCCCTCGACATGTTGGCGATTACTGGACAGAAAATCATCGTTTCAACAAAACTTGTAGAGAAGGAGGGGCCGTGGAAGTTGTTAATTGTGTTTCGAAGGATGGATATAGAGTTCCATTAAATGTAAAAATATTTAAATATATTATAAGTAAAAACCATCTCGCGTTTATTTCTTAATCTCCAACTTTAAGACCTCTAAATAGAAGAATTGTAAGACCCGTTGATTTCAGAAAAAAATTTTGAGTGAAGGAATTCCTGAAAATCCTGTGCTGATTCCAGCATTGGACTCACTCCTCACTCACTCACCCATCTGACAACATTTGTTTCTTAATTTCCAAACTTTAATCAAATGGGAACTCTTCTTTGGCACTCCACAGGAACCAAAATAATTTTTAAAAAATTTTAAAAACTTTCATTTTAAGGGGCAAATGATTCTGAATGGTTACAAATTTGAGTAAGCTCCTTATTTTTGTTTAAAAAAAGTTTAATTTTTTAATATTTTTAGGTGTGTATTGACACCACATGGGACTATTAAATTCTCTTCTTTGCCAGTAATAGAAGGCTAAATGAAGAAAAAAAGAAAATCAAAATTATTTTTTTCTGAAACAAAAAATTTTATTTTTGAATTAAAAATGTTTTTCTAAATTTAAAATAAAGAGAAAAAAATAATTAAAAAACTAATTTTACAATCCAAAATAAATTCAGAAAATTCAACATAATAATTACAACTTCCCTATTTATTTAAAAAATTAAAATTTTATTTGATTACAAAATTAAGGCTATAAAAATTAATTTAAAAATAAAGTTTTCAAGTTTTCCTTAATTGAGGTAAAACATAAAATATTTTTTTAAATAAATTTCCCCCCAAGAAAAGAAGAGGGAAATTAGATTTTGGAGAAATTGAAGGGAAGAGCCTCAAATTAAACAAAGTTTACAAATAAAAACACAAATAAAAATTAAATAATAATGAAGGGAAAAAAACAAATGAAGGGAAAATTAATTCGATTTTTGTATATTATTTTGTTGTTTTTTAAAAAGAACCACAGAATTTCCTATAAATTTTTAGAAAAAAATAATTTAAAAAATAAAAAGAAATTTACTTGAAATAATATTTTGGCCACCATAAGGGACAACAGCGGTAGTGGATGAAATTAATTTGGAGGGAGAAATAAATGGAAATTGTTTAAGAAATGCTCGACTATATTCGGTACTTTAATTTAAACAAAAATTAGAGAAGATAAAAAATATTGTGTCCCGCGTGGGATTTTGCGGGATATCGCTCCCGCAATCCCGCACTTTTTCCGATTTGCGGGGTTTTGCGGGAGTGTGGGATTTTGCGGGATTTATCCCGCGGGATCCTGTCCCGCAAAGATTTTTTTTTAATTTTATCCCGAGGGACCTCGCAAACGCGATTTTGCCGACCTCTAATTTTTAGATCCAAAAATTCGTTGAACATTATTTGTTTTTTTTGGTCTATTAAAAATTTTAAAGAGCTAATAATTAACGTTTTTAGAAAGAGTCTGTAGTTGATGGGTTAAACACATTTTCTTCATTTATTTTAAAATTTTACCTAAAAATATATAAAGAAACTGGAGATAAACTCATAGCAATATAAGGCATAATTGTTGTTATATTAATTATATACCAAGAATTTAAAGTTTTGGCTGCCCCAATAATTAAACGAATTGAATAATTAGATATCCAACCACAAATTTCCATTAATAAAATAACAGAAAGGGATTTAAATACATTTACTAAAAATAAATAAAAAGAGATTTAATTTTATTTAAAATTTTAGGTAGAGAATAGAGATCGAGATTTTTGAAAAGCCTGGACGCTGGAGGTTGATTCTTGGCCTGGACTGGATCCTGGGCCTGTAGTCCAGGAAAACCCAGGAAGGGTAAAAAATGCCTGGACCTGGACTCTGGGTACAGGAAAAACCCCAGGCCTCGGTCCAGGTCCAGCTCGATCTCTAGTAGAGAATATGTATTTCCTTACTTTGTGTTTTCTTCATTGAACCTTTAAACATTAAAATAATCCAAACAAAAATATAACAAAAAACCTAAATTAATTAAATTTTTTATAAAGGTTTTTTTAATCTTACAAAAGATAAATTAACTAAAAGCTGCATAATTGTTACCCAAGATGCATCTTTTTGCATTGGATCTCTAATAAATTTTAAATTTAAAAAAAGATTAAAAATAAATAAATTATTTACATTACAGTGCACATAACTGGTCTAAAAATTAAAAAATAATTTTTTTAATTTTAAATTAAATGCAAACATTTCTGGATTCGATAAAGAAATATTAATTCCAGATATAGGCACAATTAAAGCATATAAACAACAAAAAATAATTATTATATTTAAATAATTCTTTTTATCATGTACAATATACCTTAAATTTTAATTAATTAATTAACTAATTATTCGGAATCACCCCCAAATATTGACACCCAAAATGACGAATTTTTTAAATTTCATAATTATGTATTTCAATGATCGGGAATGATGTTCTAAAATCGGGGAATTGTGTTTTCGATCGAACTGACCATAGCGACCAATCAAGATTCTCCTTGGAGATCGAACACCCTTCTTTGATTGGACATATTGATCATATTGATGTTTGTTCCATTGTTGGAACAATTTCCCTATGTTAAAATGACTTCCCCGTCCTTGGAATACATAATTATGAAATTTAAAATTTCGATATTTAGGGTAATACGTCATTTTGATGTCGATATTTTGGGGTGAAGTCAATTAGTCATTCGAATATTTAATTTTACCATATTGGAAAAGCAACACTTAAAAGGCGATCAACACCAATTGAAAATGCTATTCCATTAGTAAAAATTGTACAAAAGAGAGGAATTGCCTTAAAATTTTGTTTAAAACATAATTATAATTAAAATTATTAAAGTTCGATCAAGTGCCGAAATATATATCCAGAAAATAAATCAAGATTTCGCTCAAATAATTAAATTTGTTCTAAAACCCCTCCAAAATTTTCCTGAATTATAAGATTATTTGATAAGTTTGGGTTTTAAACCAGTCCTGCGGATTTGTTTTTATTATGTAAATTATCTCGTGAATAACTTAATTTGGAGGTTGAATATTTAAAAGTCCTACTTAATTACCTGAATAATTCCACAATATCCAAGTGGAATAAAATTTGTGCCACTTACTACAACAGCTAAAGTAACAAAACTGCTACTTTCTTGAATACAGATAGAAAAAGAATTTAAAGCTATTTGTATATTACAAGCTCCTCGTAAATTTCTTTAAAAAAAGAATATTTTTAAAATTAATTATAATTATATGTACTTTGTTTTCTGTTGGAGATGTAAGACTCAAATGACCTAAATTCAAAAATACATATTCGACACTTTGACATTTCCTTCCCGCCTAATTTATTTGTCTATTTAAGCATTTCCTTATTCCCCCATTTTGTTCTTTTCGTTCTTCATTTCATTCAGTGACGCAGTCACAATTTTAATTGTATTTTATTAAAATAAATAAAATCTTTATTTATTATTCTTTTTGTTTGTATTATCGGGTGTCTAATACACAACACTGGCGCGGTCGTAAACTTTTTAGAGTGAAATAAAAAGAATTTTGGATTCGACAAATTCTTTATTTGACTGCAAATTTATTCTGATTCAACAAATTTATTTTTCTTGACTACAAGTCAAACTTTGATTGACATCAATTTTTATTGGATTTTCGACTTTGGCTTTGGTCGAAAAGAAAATTTTTGTTTGGACTTCAAAAAGAATTTTTTTGCGTTCGTCAGATCCGAACGCCGATTCTGCAGGTTTATTTTTGACTTTAAAAGAATTCTTCAGTTGCCTCCCGTACAAATCGATAATTTGGCGTCGCTTCTTGACGCCACTACAAAAAATCAATAAACAAGCTAGGCGCTTGTTATCTCTGATTCAAAGGACTCACGAGCTAGGAGCTTGTGATAAAACAGCTAGGCGCTGGTCCTGTTATTCCTACAAAGCCCTACTTATTTCTGCTCCTCTACACCTATTCCTAGGCGGAAAAGGAAGCGGCTAGGCGCCGTCGGAGCTTATTCATCACTTCCAAATTTGATTATTATTGATTATGGCGACCTTTACTCCTGCACAAGTTCAGCAATTGCTTAACTCATTTCAAGAGTTAACAAATCGGCTAGGCGTCGGTTCAGCAGGCACACCTCCAAATCCAAATGATGTTAGTGCTAGCGCTGCTACACTTGCCGCCTCCCTTGATGCAAGAATCGGTAAATTCAACTACGATTCTGAGGCCGGCTTGACATTCGACAATTGGTACAAGCGGTACAGCAATTTCTTCCTCGAAGACGGAAAAAGTCTTCCGGATGCTGCCAAAATGCGCTTATTAATGGGAAAATTAG